TGAACCTGGAGGACATTATGCTAAGTGAAATTGTTAAGTGCTGTTGAGTCGATTCCAACTCATAGCGACCCTGTATAGGATTTCTGAGGAGCATCTGGGGAATTTGAACCACCAACCTTGCAGTTCAAATTGATCTTGTAGTCGTGTATCCTATAGTGTCACACCAGGACTCAGTCAACCACAAAAGGACAAACATTGTATGAGACCAATACCGTAAAAAGTTTTCTTGATAAAAGAATCTATGAGTCCCCACTGAATAGATTTCATCTTGTCTAGATGGGTCCGGTGAAAAGAGATTGGGATAAAATTCTTATGACTCAATAGTGAATAATTGTTATCATGACTAATTGCGACTGTCAAAATTGTAAAGATAGAAGTTTTGTAACAAAAACAGGGGAGTGGTTAATCTTACAGTCCAGAAACAGAGGACCCTAGGACCATCAAGGGAGAAACGCAAAAGCAGAATGTGGGACCTTATCCAGAGAAGCACCAGCACCAGAGATGGTTTACAGAGCAGATCATATATTTTACATTCAACAAATCTGACCTGATTCACCAGTTCTTGCAGCCTCGTGCATCAACAGCCTGTAGTCTGACCTGAGACTACATGAGTGAGGAGAATTCTCCAGACTGATGCCTTTTTTTTTTAAACTTTTTTTGTGAATTGGGTGAAGGTTTACAGAGCAGATCATTCAGCAAACCATAAACTTGCACTACGTGGTTGCAATCCCCTCCAGATAGCAACAGTTACCATCTTCTACCGCTATTCACTTTATTACATTCCTCCCTGAATCTCCCAATACCTTCATCTTTCCTCTGCTTACCTCCCTCTTGTATATTCACTGCCCTGTCACCTATGTTAACATGTCTACCTGCTAGCCCATGAATAATTTTTTCTCCACCCCATCTCCGTAACCATCATAGTTTTTTTGTTTTTTTCATTGTGAATTGAGTGACACTTTACATGAGAGAGCATAGGTTTTACATTCATTGTTTCATTGCAATGACTACAATCCCCTCCATGCACCATAGTTCAACAGTATTTGCTTCTATTCCCTCTCTTTTTTTTCTTTTCTTTAGGGTTTTTATTGTGGATTGAGTGAAAGTTTACAGGGCAGATCATCAGTTTTACATTCAACATATCATATACCTTGTTTCATTACATTGATTATAATCCCCTTCATGTACCATCAGTTAACAGTATTTCTCTCTATCCACTTTAGCTTTTTTAAACAACAACAACAAAAAAAACCATTCAGGCATATAGAATAATTTACATCTCCAAAGGGCACATTCTGCAAGTCTGCCTCTGGCCACCAGTTCTTAGTCCCTTTCTTCCCATAAATCTAGAGTCCTCAGCTGCTCCCTGTCTCCATGACCCCATCTCTGCCTCTGTCTGGCGTCGCTTGCTTCTCTGTTGTTGTTAAGTGCTGTCTAGTCGATTCCGACACACAGCAACCCTGTATAGGGTTTCCAAGAATAGCTGGTGGGTTTGAACCACCAACCTTGTTGTTAGCATTCTAGTGCTGATCCCTCAGCAGATGATAATTCTCTGATTTCTGTTGGAGTGAGTTCCCATTACAAACTGATACCCAGGGTCTAATACCTAGATGGGTATAGGTGCATATGTTTATAACATTAGACAAGAGGACTTGAAAAATAATGGGATTTTTTTTTCTGTGAATTTTTAAAATTGTTTACAATCTTTTATTCATAATAAAAAGATGGTAAGCAGTTTTAAAAGATTGAACTAGTAGTATGTTTTCCAATCAAAATAGAATTAAATTAGAAATAACCAAAGAAATTTTGAGCAATTCACAACTATGTGGGACTTGAATAAATACTTTTAATTAAAAATACCAAGAACAAACAGGCAAAAGCTCTTCAACTAGTCAGGTCTCATAAGGGATATATTTGTATTTTTCTTGCATATCTGATTAAATGTTGTTGCTAAGTGCCTTTGAGTCAATTCCGACTAGTAGCAACCCTGTCTAGGGTTTACAAGGAGTGATTGGTAGGTTTGAACCTCTGACCTTGTAGTTACTAGTCTAGTGCTGATCCTACAGTGCTACACCAGGACTCCATTTGATTAAATAGTTATGTAAAAATAACGGATACTCTAAAAACTTGTAATAATTATTGTATGATTTTTTTCTTTCATCGGACTATTCTGATTGTTTTATGTGTATGAATAAAACTGGCTTACATTCCCTAACTATAATGGTATTGGAGTTAGTTCAGATGTATATTTAAAGATATCAGTTAGCTTAAAATAGTTTGTGGAAAATTTAAGTTATAATTTAATTCATCTTTCCCATGAAAAATTTAAAGCACCCTATATATTTGCATGTAAAAGGAAAGTGTGATAATATATATATATTTTTTTAATGAGTAAGTTGTAAAATTCCATTATTGTCTATTTGATAACAGATTATCAAGTGTTGAATGGTGTGACCCATTGTAGGTAGTAAGCAAGCCATGTGGTTTATTGGTGGACATGACCTTATAACTTTTTTTTTCCAGTAAAATAGTCACTACAATGTTATAAAATTCTTTGTAAACCATCTTCCCCTCATAGTTAGTATTAATAGTTTTCTTTTATAAGGCTTTTAAATATTCATTTTAATAAATTGCTAGTAAATATAAATGATAATAATAGGGGTCCTGTTGCAACACTGTATATGTTGTTGTTAAGTTGTTGTTAAGTGTTGTTAAGTGTTAAGTGCCGATTCTGACCCATAGCGACCCTGTATAGGGTTTCCGAGGAGCAGCTGGTGAGCTTGAACTGCTGACCTTGCAATTCAAACAGCTTTGCAGTCTTAACGCATTAACCCACAGTGCCACACACTGTATATAGGGGTCCCTTATATTATCTCCTAAGATAAGCACTGGACTGCTCACCACAAGAGTAGTGGTTCAAACCCACCAGAGCCAATTCTTGGAATCTACTAGATGGCACTTAACAGCAACAACAACACCTACATGGTACAAAAGAATTAGCTCAAGTTATTTTCCTATCGTACTAGTGCTTTGAATATATTGATAGTTTTTTAAACCTAATTTTCATTTGCTCATTTTTCTGTCATACTGTTAATGTCCATTTCTAGCTGCAGTAATTGTATTAATTTTCAGAGAATAATTTTTTTCTATTCTGGTGAGGAAACTTTTAGCATTCTTATTATTCGCTAAAAACTAAGTGACTTTTTACGTAATCTGAAGAGTCAAAGTTGCAAAATCATAAGTTGTTAGTACATATAAATCATAGGTTTCTTCACGTGAAATTTCTATCAATATGAGTTGATTTTGAAATATGTAGTATATGTTATTTTATTCCAGGGGAAGGAAGCCAACACCCTTTTGGAGCCATGAATATTGTCCGGACTCCATCTGTTGCTCAAATTGGGATCTCAGTGGAGTTACTGGACAATCTAGCTCAGCAGACACCTGTAGGAAATGCTGCAGTATCCTCAGTTGACTCATTCACTCAGGTAATAATACAAGTATTTTTTT